ATATAAACACTTTTTTGATGCTGTGTTCTTCTCCAGCTACCATTCCTGCTCCTGTCCTTCATGGTCAATCAGTGTTGATTATAAGTGGTAGGATGTCTGTATTAGTTCCTTAGCATTTTACCTGGTATGTCCTGCCTCCTTTACCTGGCACAGTAGCTCTCTGAAGGCAGAGTGCATGTCTTGGGACTCCTTTAGATCTCCTGTCTCCGCATAGTACCATACCTACTGAAGGTGCTCCCATCTTTGACTAACACCCTTGATTGGGTGAAATCTTATAAACACATTTCCTCATATTCTTTCATTATAACAAATAATTACTGAGTTGTAGTAGAAGATGAGTAAAAATAGTGTGTGCCTTCAAGGAGCTTAAAATCTAATCATCCTTCTATCCTTTTACAAGAATATTCAGTGGAATTCTATTCTAGTAAGGATTAAGTTTGTAAGTAATTATAGGGATGCTAAGGCATAAGACACCAATCACTTCACGATGCACTTTGTATATTCCTATGGACATGGCAGGTCTTCTGTAGGAAAATAGCAGATTAGAGTGGGATGATGGGGGGCGCCTGGGTGGCTCAGTTGGTTAAGCGACTGCCTTCGGCTCAGGTCATGATCCTGGAGTCCCTGGATCGAGTCCTGCATCGGGCTCCCTGCTCAGCAAGGAACCTGCTTCTCCCTCTGACCCTGCCCCCTCTCATGTGCTCTCTCTCTCTCATTCTCTCTGTCTCAAAAAAAAAAAAGTGGGATGATGGGTTGGGGCAGAAGAGTGGAATGCCTGGATGTTAGAAGAGTGTGACTTACACAGGCTGGTGGGACGGAGAGGGGTGATCAGAGCTGGCTTTTAAGAATGTTAGTCTGGGGGCACCTGGGTGGTGCAGTTGTTAAAGCTTCTGTCTCTTGCTTTCAGCTCAGGTCGTGATCTTGGGATCATGGGCTCAAGCCCCGTGTTGGGCTCTGCGTCAGACTCTATGCTCAGTGTGGAGTCTGCTTGGGCTTCTCTCTCCCTCTGCAACCCCCCACCCCCACCTCATGTGCGTGCCATGTGTCTCTCTCTCTCTCTCAAATAAGTAAATCTTTCAAAAAAAATGTTAGTCTGGCAGCTCTATGGACCCGGAGAAGGAGCTCACCAGAGACAAGGAGTGGTAAGGGGCCTATTACAAATGCACAGATAAGAAGTAATGAGAGCTTGCTCAGATGGTGGCAAAAGACAGACCACAAGGAAAACGCACTATGGAGAAAAAAAAAAGTGTACCCTAGTGATTTAAGGTAATTGGATGCAGCAGAGAAGTCAAAGCTAAGTGTATTGCACTTTGTCATTAACAAATAGAAAATTAGGATTGGTTTTGAGGAGGAAAATGATTAATTTTACCTTGGATTTGTATTATCTACTGCTGTGTAGCAAATCATCATAGAATTGAGCAGCTTAAATAACAAACATAATATCTCACACACATTTTCTGAAGGTCAGGAATCCAGGAGTAGCTTAGCTGGAAGGTTCCAGCTTAGCTCCTCTCATGGGGTTGCAGTCAAGATGTTGTCCAGGGCTGCAGTCATCTGAAGGCTTGACTGGGGCTGGAGGATCCGTTTCCACAATATCTCACTCACAGAGCTGTTGGCTGGAGGCTGTAGTTCCTTACTGGCTATTGGCAGGAGGCCTCCATAAGGCTGCTTGAGTCCTCACAATGTGTCAGCTCATTTCCCCTGGAGTGAGTGACCCAAGGGAGCAAGCCAGGAAGAGACTGCAGTGCCTTTTATGACCTAGTCATGGAAGCCATATACCATCCCTTCTGCCATAATTTATTCCTTAAAAATGAGTCATAAATCTAGCACATACGCAAGGGGAGGTTAGACTCCACCTTTTGAAGGGAGGAATGTTGAAAAATCTGTGGACATATTTTAAAATCACCATAGGTATATTGTTTTGAGGACAAATTGAAATGAGCATTTAAATGAAAATGTCAGGAGAAAGTAATCAGGAGCATTTAGAGAGCCAAATTGCCTACATGTAGAAGTAGGTGACAGCTGGAGCTGAAAATATCAAAGATGGAGAACTTCTCAAGGCAAGCTTCTTAATGATCTTTCTCAACCAGTCTAGTCATTAATGGGCATTCTTCCCTTTTCCAGATTATATTATCCAGTTATTCTAACTTTTTTTTTTAAAGGTTTACATTTGTAATTTCTTGTATTTTGTGTCTTTCCTCCAGAGCTTCTTATGAAAAATTTTAAACTTGCAGAAGAGTTGAAAGATTGGTATAATGAGTGTCCGTTATGTCCACATCTAGGTTCAGTAATTGTTAACATTTTTACTTTTTCTAACTATCCAGTTTATCCATCCAAGTATTTTTTTTTCTGAACTATTTATTGGATGGCATTCTTTTGTAAAGAAGTTTGCCCTCAACCATGGCATAAACTACGGAACCTCTCAAAAAGGCAGGATACAGACTTAATTCTTTTCCCTTAATTACTGATTTTCAGAGTGAGGAACTGATGTAACAGTCACTTGCAATGGGAGCCAATGATTCTTTTTCTTTTTCTCCTTTCTTTCCTCTCTTCTTTTCTTTTCTCTCTTCCTTCCTTCTTTCCTTTCTTTCTCACTATGGACTCATAGTCCAAAGGTAACACATATAAAATCTCTATATAATGCCAGATATGCATTGTGCCATTTTGTACTCCCACCAACAACGTCAGAGAAAGTCTGTTTTTCCACAGCCTCACAAAGGACGTCTCTTGTCAAACATTTGAATTTTTGCCAAACGCGAGAAAATGGTATCTTGGTGTAGTTTTAATTTTTGTGAATGAGGTTGATCATCTTTGTGTTTTAAGAGCCATTTGCCTTCCTTTTTCTGTGTTCTATGTCTTTTGCCTATTTAAAGAATTTAAAGATTTTTAAAAAGATTTTATTTTATTCATTTGTCAGGGAGAGAGAGAGAGCACAAGCCGGTGGGGGGGGGGGGGGCGGGGAGTGGCAGGCAGAGGGAGAAGCAGGCTGCCCACCGAGCAAGGAGCCCGATGTGGGACTCAATCCCAGCACCCTGGGGTCATGACCTGAGCCGAAGGCAGACACCTAACCGACTGAGCCACCCAGGTGTCCCTATCTAAAGAATTTTTTAATCTTTTTTCATTTTAAGAGTTCTAAATACTAGGACAATGAGAAACAAAGGGCTAATAGAAGTTGGGAGTATTTTTTCCCCCCAATTTGTCATTAGTCTTTTTTGACTTTGCTTATGGTGTTTTTATGATGTGCAAAGATTTCCTTTTCTGTTCTGAATTTATTGCATGTGGATTTTAAGTTATAGTTAAGAAGGTTTTTCCCACACCCATGTTATAAAGAAGTTTATTTGCACTTGCTTCTAGAACTTGTGCAGTCCCCGCTCTCTCCCTCAACCTCCTCCCCCTTTTCCCTCCCTCTCCTTTCTCCTTCCGTTTCTCTTTTAACATTTGGATCTCTGAACCCTTTGGAGTTTATTCTGGCATAGGTTCTTTTTCCAGTGGCCATTCTACTGTCCAGTGTTTTCTCTCTGATTTGAGATATCACCTTTATCATATGCCAAATTTCAAAAAACTTTTGAGTTCTTGAATTTTCTATTTTGGGATTTTCTATTCTGTTATGTAGCCGTCAGGGTCCAATCAGGAGATAGAAACTACACAGTCGGTTCAACAGGGGAGTTTTAATATAAAGAATAACCATGGGGGCGCCTGGGTGGCTCAGTCGGTTAAGCATTAAGCATCTGCCTTTGGCTCAAGTCCCGCATCCCGCTCCCTGCTCAGTGGGGAGCCTGCTTCTCCTCCTCCCCCTGCTCGCGCTTTCTCCCTCTCTCTCTCTCAAATAAATAAATAACATCTTAAAAAAAAAAAACTATCATAAGAGATTAAGTATAATCTATAAGTAAACTAGGGCTGAGGGGGAGAGCATCCAAGGAAGGACTAATTTGGAAGGGGCTCAGACCTCCCTGGGAAAGGTGGATGGGCCACTGACTAGCGGAGATTTTGCTGGTTGAGCCAGGCCAGAGCCGCTCTAGGGTTGTTTGGCAGGCAACAGGACTGCTTCCGGGGTGCAGCGGGGGACCAGGCGATCAGCAACTGGGGGCATGGTTGTGCCCTGGGAGTCCAGGTGCCTGCGGGGTGGGGGAAGGTGGGGGGACAGAAGGCCTTCACAGTGTGCAGGTAGCGTGAGGTGAGGAGTTTGTACAAGGAACGACTTCTTTGTGACTCGCCGGGCCCCAGTTCGGACAGGTGGCCGTGGAAAGGTTATCCCCGCACCGACGCTGCAAGGTTGCAGACGGACCCCGTTCTGGACCCGTGGCAGGGCCAGACTCCACTGGCTCCACCCCCCACACTGCGGACCTCTGCGGGCGCCAGAAATTACAGCTGCCTCTTTCTCCTTTGGTGTCCCTGCAGCGCCCCCTACCGAGAACTCTTAGCATTGTGCTCACTTTAACCAGGTACAGCAAAGCCAGCTAGTTTACCATAGGCTGTATATTGAAGGGTGCGTTGAAAGCTGAGAAGCAATACATTGACAAGTGACACGTTGGCCTGTCTGTTCCTTGTGTTTTATTACTGGTGACTCGTCGTGTATTTGAATATCTGTTAATGCTGTCCCTGCTCACTGACCTACTCTTCCAAGGTTTTCTTGGTTATTCTTGTTTACTTTTCCATAAGAACTTTAAAATAAACTTACCTAGTTCCGGAAGAAAAAAAGCCTTGGCATTTTAAGATCATCCTGCATTTTTTAATTTTTAAAAGTATAATAAATTCTTGTGGTTAAAAAAAAAATTCTTGTAGCTAACAACAACAAAAGCAATAAAGAAGTGAATAAAGTAGCAAATGAGAGTTCCATGCCTCCCATTCACACTCCCTGAGGTTAATATTTTTGAGTCTGTCTTTCAGGATGTGTTTCTAAGCTGTGTGTGTGTGTGTGTAAGTAATAAATATGTTTGGACATTTTGAATAGTTAGGTCTGTAGCTCTAACTTAGAAATGTCTTTTTGTTTTTCTCTACAGCCATCATACCTGCCCATGAGTCTTTGAGAACATTATAATGTCCCTTTGTGCCTCTTCTCACAAAGAGTTTCCTCAGCTGTTACCTGTTCAAGACATGGATATCAAAAACTCACCATCTAGCCTTAACTCTCCGGCTTCCTACAACTGCAGTCAATCTATCCTACCTGTGGAGCACGGCCCCATATATATACCTTCCTCCTATGTAGAGAGCCACCATGAATATTCCGCCATGACCTTCTATAGCCCCGCTGTGATGAATTACGGTATTCCCAGCAGTGCCAGTAACTCAGAAGGTGGGCCTGGTCGACAGACCACAAGCCCAAATGTGTTGTGGCCAACTCCTGGACACCTCTCTCCCTTAGCCATCCATTGCCAGTCGTCACTTCTGTATGCAGAACCTCAAAAGAGTCCTTGGTGTGAAGCAAGATCACTAGAACCCACCTTACCTGTAAACAGGTAAATTCAGTTGTCATTCTGAATTGTACTTCAGGGGCATTATTCAAATCACTATGATTTAGTGAGAAGAAAGATACGCATTATTCGAGGTCTTTATTCATCACATAGATTACTTAGAGCACCTAACACATACAATATTCTGAATTCTAGAATATCTATTCTGATATTTTAATCCTCGCTAAAAAGTAAGCTATTAGGTCTGGGTTGTGGGGAGAATTCACTATCATGACTGTTCTTTTTGGACATTAAATATTGAAATTAAATCACTTTTCTCTTGATGAAGTGACGTGGGTTTGAAAAAGAAATTTTTACTTTCAAGTTAGATCCTTCTTGTAGTGAAATCACAATTTAGCATTCATGACACATTGTGTCCAGGATAAAAGCAACTGTGGCAGTATTACTACTTACATGAAATACACTGGACATAGAAAGCCTGAAAAGACAGACAGTAATTGGTATAAGCTCTTTAGCAGTGAACTAAAATAACATTTGATAAAGATTGATGGGAAACTTAATTGTAGACTTTAGTTGAAATTTCTTGAAGCTCAAAAGAGTATTTGTACTCTTCAAAAGCAAGGTAACGTGATGGTTATTTCCATTTAATTTGTAATGTGTTTAATGATAATTATAGCTATGGAGGGAAGAGGTTGTGTAGGGAGAAAGATGAGGAGGAGATAAATTTCTAGAACCGCCAAAGTATTAAGTCATTGTGTATTGGATATTGAAATTTGTTACTTTCAAATGCTGTCGTAACACGTTGAGAAAGCCATATTACACAGTAATTTTATTTTTCTTTTTTAAAAACTTTGTTGGTAAAAGAGAATATAAACATTGTATATAACTTTTTTACAGTACTGTTTTTCACTCAGCCTTCAAGGGAAGACCCTTTGTTTCTGAGCATGAGCTCTAATCAGAGTTCTGCTAATATTACCCATAGTATAATTATCTTCATTTAAAACCAATCATACTCTAACATTTCCTTTCCAAAAGAAACATGGCCTAGCAAAATTAGGAACTAGCCACATGTGCTTTTGTGTCGGCCAGTGCTGCCTTCATGGGCTGTCCCTTCCTCTATGGGAGCTGTTGCCCCTCTCCCCAGCACTGAGCACCTGCTTCCATCAAAACCTTCTCTAAGGAGGCGTGTGTCCACTTTCTTCCCTTCTCTTCTCCTCTTTTTCTTCTCTCTGCCCTTCCCTGCCCTTCTCTACCCTTCCCTACTCCTCTCTACCCTTCCCTACTCTTCTCTGCTCTTTCTCTCTCTCTCTAAACCAGAGTATCGTATTCACTTCAGTATAACTTAAAGTCCATTTGTAACTCCTCTTAAAGTTATTTTCATTCTAGACCTTCATCTTACATTGCAGAATGAAAGATTTTGTTCCCCATTTAAATGGGAACTCTGAAGGGCTATTTAGCAACACTTGGGAATGACTAATACTTGAAAATGGTTAGGTAAATTTAGGCCCATCCATACAGTGTTGATGAATTATAGCAACTACGGAAGACTACTGTACACCTTGCTTGTGGTCCAGACCTGCGGATAAGACTTACTCTGGTCACTTATTACACTCAGAGATGTGCAACCTGATGGCTACAACTGACCATCTGTAGTTACTAGTGCTCATCAGTGCTGCATGGATGGGCATAGACTTGCAGAACCACTTTCAAACATCAGCCATTCCCAATAGTGTGACTCTTCATAGATCTGATATCAGCAACAAAGGTTGTGCTTGATCAGATTTCTTGGAATATATTTATCATGAGCCCTGGAGGGCAAAGAGGTAAATTACGCAGTATTCATGCTATTTTTTTTTTCTAGAAAGTCCATCTTTTCTCTTAATGCTGTCTTACAATGAATGTTTTCTTTGCCCCCAGAGAGACACTGAAAAGGAAAGTTAGTGGGAGCAGTTGTGCCAGCCCTGTTACTAGTCCAAGTTCAAAGAGGGATGCTCACTTCTGTGCGGTCTGCAGCGATTACGCATCTGGATATCACTATGGAGTCTGGTCGTGTGAAGGATGTAAGGCCTTTTTTAAAAGAAGCATTCAAGGTACAAGAGTATTGTTAGTTGCTTCTTTAATTTTCCACTTTTGCTTTCAAATAATTTTGCAGATGACCTGGCAGAAATTTCACCATTGGCCTGTTTGGTACACAAAGTACTTGATGAGCAGTTTAGAGGATCATGTGTGTTTGGGGATGGGGTGGATGGTGGAATGGATTGTTTCAAGTGTGGAGCACCTTATCTTTAATTGTGGATCTCTACTCCAGAGCCCCAGAACTTGGATGGATCTCTTTCCACCATCACCCATCACCATCTTCTTGGGAAAAGACACCTAGTTACAACTCTCGTATATCTCTTACTGGTTTTTGATTTGTGGTTACCATTAGGTTTGTATATAACATATTATGCATATAGTAATTTACATTAAGTTGATGGTCTCTTAAATTTGAACCCATTCTTTACTTCTCTCCCTACTCCTCTCCACTGCTGTATTTTAAATATATCGTGTCATACTTTACATCCTTTTATTTTATGAATCCCTTGGCTGATTTTTATAGATACATTTAATTTTACTTTTGTGCTTACTACTTTTCTTATTCCTGCTTATGGTCTTTCCATTCAGAGGGTCCCCTTTAACATTTCTTGTAGGGCTGGTTTAGTGGTCATAAATTCCTGTAACTTTTGTTTGTGTGGGAAACTCTTTATCTTTCTATTCTGAATGCTAGCCTTGCTGGATAGAGTATTCTTGGCTGTAGGTATTTTTCTTTCAGCACTTGGAGTGTATTATGCCACTCTCTTCTGGCCTGCAAAGTTTCTGCTGGAAGATCAGTTGACAGCTTTATGGGGGTTCCCTTGTATGTAACTCTTTTCTATTGCTGCTTTTAAAATTCTATCATTACTTTTTGCCATTTTAATTATTATGTGTCTTGGTGTGGACCTCCTTGGGTTGATTTTGTTGAGGGCTCTCTGTGCCTCCTGGATCTGCATTTCTATTTCTTTCCCCACATACAGGAAGTTTTCAGCTATTATCTCTTCAAACACATTTTCTGCCCCATTTTCCCTCTCTTCTCCTTCTGGGACCTCTATAATGCAAATGTTATGCTTGATGGTGTTACTTAGTTCCCTAAGTCTGTTTTCATTTTTTATTTTTTTTCCCCCTCTCTCCTGTTCAGCTTGATTGCTCTCCATTACTCTGTCCTCCAGGTGGCTGATCTGTTCTTCTGTTTCTTCTAGTGTACTATTTATTCCATTGAGTGCATTTTTACCTTTAGTTATTGAGTTGTTCATCTCTGATTGGTTCTTTTTTATGTTTTCTATTTCTTTGTTAGGAGTTTCACTGAGGTCCTCCACTCTTTTCTCCAGTCCAGTGAGTATCTTTATGACCATTACTGTAAATTCTCTATCAGGTGGGGCACTTGGGTGGCTCAGTGCATTAAGTATCTGCCTTCAGCCTAGATCGTGATCCTGGAGTCCTGGGATTGAGCCCTGCATTGGGCTCTCTGCTCAGTGGGGAGACTGCTTCGCCCTCTGACCCTCTTGTGCTCTCTCTCTCTCTCACTCAGGTAAATAAATAAAATCTTTAAAAATAAATAAGTAACATGCCTGATAGAGAATTTCTTATCTGTTTCATTTAGGTCTCTTGCTATGATTTTGTTCTGTTCTTTCATTTGGAACATGTTCCTCTGACTCCTCATTTTGTCTAGCTCTCTGTGTCTGTTTCTTTCTTTCTTTTTTTTTAAGATTTTATTTATTTATTTATTTGAGAGAGAGAGAGAAACATCATAAGAGGGGAGAGGGTCAGAGGGAGAAGCAGGCTCCCCGCTGAACCGGGAGCCCAATGTGGGACTCGATCCCAGGACTCCGCGATCATGTGAGCCGAAGGCAGTCACTTAACCAATTGAGCCACCCAGGCGCCCTCTGTGTCTGTTTCTATGTCTATGTCTCCTGATCTTGTAAGTAGTGGCCTTATGAAGAAGAGGTTCTCTAGTGCCCTGCAGTGCAGTGTCCCCTGTTCACCAGACCTGGCACTTCAGGGGTGTCACCTTATGTGTGTTGTATGCACCCTACTATGGTGGCTGAGCTGCTTTTGCCTTAGGCCAGTTGTCTGCAATGGCTCTCTTTGCCTGTTGTGGGCAGGATTTGGTTGCTGCATTGTTAATGGGCAAATCTGGGGCCGCCTTGGGCTTGAGTTGAGTTAGATCAGGGAGCTAAACAGACCTATGGGGTGCGGGGCAGGGAGAGGGCACACACCAGCTCCTTTGTTCCTGGAGAAGTCTGCCAGCGATCCCTGTCCCTCCAACACATACTCTGAGATTAGTAAACAAATCTCCCTCCCATACACCCCGGGCATTTTTCAAACTGCTGCTTCTATGCTGTATCCCCATAGGGCTGTTTGTTGTGCTATCTCTTTAAGGGCAGAGACTCTGTTTCTTCTTGCCTTCCTAGCTCTCTCAGAGCCAAGCCTGCTGATTTTTAGAGTTCCACCTGATCAGCCCTGTTCATTGTAAGAACTCCTAAAATTACCCCCCTCTGGTTTTCAAAGCCAAATGTTATGGGAATTCATCTTAACTGTGTGAGTTCCCCATACGTGGGGTACTTGGTGTGATAGTCTATTCCTCTTCCCTCTCCAAGCCTGCAGGTCCCTCCCTCCCGTGGACAGTCCCATAGGTCTGTCTGCATAGGCAGCTCCCAACTACCTTTTCATCCTTCCTATCCTCTTCAGTGTGGCCTCTTCTCTACATTTATCTGTGGAGAGTCTGTTCTGCAAGTCTTTGGGTCATTTTCTGGATTATTTACACTGATGGGGTGTTATCTAGTTGTATCCATGGGATGAGGTGAGCTTAAGATCTTCCTATTCTGCCATCTTCCTCAGAAGTCCCTAGTTACAACCCTTGTGAAGATAAAGCTTGGAAAAAATGTGCTCGTTAGGAATTACAAAGATTGTTTCTTCCTTTGACTTATGTTTAATATTTGGCATGCGTAAGAATCATGATGGTGGGATGGCTCCTGATAGAATCTAGACGGTGGTGAAGGGTAGAATGTTAGTAGTTAAGAGTTACCTTCCTGCAGATCCCCTGAAATTCACCCTGTTTAGAGGACCACCTATTTTTCCTGGATCTTCCACTTAGTAGCTCTATGACTTTACCTCCTAGCCTGTTTCCTCTTCAGTGAAATGGAGATACAGAATTGTTCTAAAGATGAAATGGGGGCACCTGGGTGGCCCAGTTGGCTTAGTGTCAGACTCTTGATTTTGGCTCAGGTCATGATCTCAGGGTCATGGGTTTGAGCCCTGTGTCAGGCTTCATGCTCAGTGGGGAGTCTGCTTGAGATTCTCTTTCTGCCTCTCCCTCTGCCCCTCCTCCAACTTCCATACACTCTCTCTCTAAATAAATAGGTAAATAAATCTTTAAAAAAATAAAAATAAAAAATGAAGTTGGCTATGTGAAAATATTCAGTCATTTATAAACATCATGCAAATTTAAGATATTCTAGTTTTAACTCTTCTGTATTGAGATATCAACATCTTTTCCTTCTTCTTTGTATTTTCTAATATTTAAACCCACATTCTCTAAAATCTTCATAGTTGGGTGGATCAGGGCCCTCTGCCATTTCCAAACTTAATTTTATTGAAAAAAAAAACCCATCACAGATAAAGGAGGCCTATGTCATCAAATATTATCAAAACGTAAGTTGTATTATTTGCTTATTTATAATTTATACACAAAACTTTTCATTCTGTATTTAACATATTTAGTGCTTTAATATTTTTCTTATGATAATTGTAGTAGTAAATTATAAGGCCAGGCCTACTTCCCTGCTATCATATAGCATGAACAATTCAGATTTCTAAAATTTAGAACTGAACTCTTGACATGATGACAATTTTCTATCTTGTTGAGATTCCAGAATTTTATTCCTTAAGGAAATCTTGACCCAATACAACTAACTATATCCTTTGAAAAGGATCCTTTTTATTTGCTGTTGGGAAAAAATCTCTACCTAAAATATCTTTGAACTCTTAGACTATGGCTGATTACAATGACAAGGGAGTTTCCTCTGCTTTCTGCATGTCATTCCTTCCTACTGCGTGAGCCAAGAAACTATTGGGAAAGGGGAAAGAAAGGTCATATTCTAAGTGTGCAGAAGGGAAAGAGTGAGTGCTTTTACAATTGCTTACTATGTAAGCAATTAACTCTTCATATTTTTGGCATCCTCTGATATAAAATACATTGCAGTAACTGAAAATGGCCACCCAATTCTTTCTGTATATTGAATGAAGTAAGAATGAAATGTATTTATCATATTATCATTATTCATAATAAAAACTCTCAACAAAGGAGGTTTAGACAGAGGATATCTCAACATAATAAAAGCCATATATGAAAAACCCAAAGCTAACATCGTACTCAATGGTGAAAAACTGAGAGCTTTTCCTTTAAGATCAGGAACAAGACAAGGATGTCCACTCTCACCACTTTTATTCAACATAGTGCTGGAAGTTCTAGCCACAGCAATCACACAAAACAACAAATAAAAGGCATCCAATTTTGTAAGGAAAAAGTAAAACTTTCACTATTTGTGGATGACATGATATTATATGTAGAAAACCCTAAAAACTCCACCAAAAACCAGTAGATAAGTGAATTAAGTAAAGTTGCAGGATACAAAATTACAGAAATCTGGTGCATTTCTATACACTAATAATGAAGTAGCAGAAAGAAATGAAGAAAACCATCCCATTTACAATTGCACCAAAAAATAATAAAATACCAAGGAATAAACTTAACCAAGGAGATGAAAGACTTGTACTCTGAAAACTATAATACACTGATGAAAGAAATTGAAGATGACATAAGCAAATGGAAAGATATCCCATGCTCATGGATTGAAAGAACAAATACTGATAGTGTCCATACTACCCAAAGTAATCTATGGATTCATTGGATTCCCTATCAAAATACCAACAGCATCTTTCACAGAGCTAGAACAAATAATACTGAAATTGGTATGAAAGACCCTGAGTAACGAAAGCAATCTTTGTTTTTTTT